TTGTAGCCCTTAACAAGGACAATCCGAAACCACTTTGATCCGACCCAAATCGGAAGTGGGTCCCACTCAAATAATTGCCCCAAAATGACCATTTAATGCAATTTTAACACATTTTTTTCCAACAAATGTTATACATAAACTTGACAAACCTAGATTTTCACAAAGGTTAGACTAGGAACCTTTCCTGTCCATATCTCATATGGTGTCCTTTTTGTAGCCTTTGTTGGAGCCCTAAGCTATTTAGTATGAATGCAACGGTTTCAAGAGCATATCCCCAAAAGGAGATTGGTAGTTTAGCGAGACTCATCATGGAATGAACCATGTTTAACAGGGTCCAATTTCTCCGATTGTGGTGTACCTGGAGGAATGAGTTGTGAAACAATTCCACAACTTCTTAGATGGTCCTTAAATTCCTAGCTGAGATATTCACCACCTCGATCTGATCGAATGACCTTTATTGTTTCTCCAAGTTGATTCTGAACTTCATTCTGGAATTCTTTGAACTTTTCAAAAGCTTCATGTTTATGCTTCATTAGGTACACATAACCAAACCTACTGAAGTCATCAATGAATGTTATGAAGTACTGAAAACCTCCTCTGGCCATTGTTGACATTGGCCCACATACATCCGAGTGTATGAGGTCCAATAAACCATGAGCTCTTTCGCCTTTACCAGTAAATGGTGTTTTGGCCATTTTACCCAATAAACAAGATTCTCACTCCTCGATTAATTCAAAATTTAAAGAGTCAAGAAATCCATAAGAATGAAGTCTTTTAATGCGCTTCTCATTTATATGGCCTAGCCTACAATGCCAAAGGTATGTTGGGTTTGAGTCGTTAGATTTAAAGCTCTTTGTATTTACGTGATAGATGGGCATTTCAAGGTCTAGAGCATAAAGTCCATTTATAAGACTAGCACTACCATAAAAGATTTCATTAAAATAAATAGAACAAATGTTGTTCTTTATTATAAAATGAAATCCTTTTTTGTCTGAACAAGAAACAGAAATTATATTCATGTTAATGGCAGGTACATGAAACAATTATCAAGTTCTAAAACTAAGTCTGTGGGGAAATTTAAAGTAAATGTCCCTAATGCTAATGCTGCAACTTTTGCACCGTTGCTTACTCGTGGGTCAACTTCAACTTTAGTCAGCCTTCTACTCCTTGTCAGTCCCTGCACATTTGAACAAATGTGAAAACCCTAACCGGTATCTAATACACATGAAGTAGTAGTAGTAGAAGTAGTAACATTTACTTCTATCACATAGATACCTGAATTGGAAGCATCACCATGCCCCTTTTTCAGTTCCTCCAAATAAGCCTTGCAATTCCACTTCCAATGACCGATTTTGTTGGAGTGGATACATTTTTTCTCTTCTTTAGAAGTAGAGTTGGCAACAACTTTACCTTTACCTGAGTTCTTAACCAGGCTTTTGGATTTCTTGTTTTCACCAACCTTGCCTTTACCATGCTTCTTAAATCTCTTCCTCTTTTTGACCATCAAAACGTCACACCCATTTTTTCTTGATGCTTTGTTCAGCAGAGTTGAGCATTCCATGCAATTCGGTTAAGGTCTTCTCAAGACCATGCATATTATAGTTCAGGATGAACTGATCATATGCAGGGATGAGTGTCGCGAGAATCACATCAGTAGTCAACTCTTGACTAATTGGAGATCCAAGTCTTTCCAAGGGGTCTCTACACCCAATCATCTTGAGATACGTGAGGTCCAACTAGGCTCCCATCAGTAGGCCTTGTGTGAAACAAAGCCTTGGTTGTCTCGAACCTTTTGATCTGTGCTTATTTTTTAAACAAGTTCTTGAGATCATAAGAGATGTCATGTGCATGATGATTCAGAAACTGTTTCTGAAGATTAGCTTCCATGATGGTTAGCATCAGACAAGTGACATCAACTTCATCATGGACATGCCTTTCATAAGCATCTCTAGTAATTGGTTGGTCAAGGACATATTCTCTACGCTCTTGCCTGTGGACAATTCTCAGATTTCTATCCCAGTCCATGTAATTTGTTCCATTAAGTTTTTCCTTCTCAAGAATTGATCCCAATAAAAAAGTTGTGTTGGTGGCCATGTTAACTACAACAAATAATGCAAATAATTTAAATAATGCTCAAAATAACTCCCATTGTATTAAATAGAAAGTCCCAAATATAGCGGTCCAAGATCCATATTTCACTTAACTTTAAGTAAGTTTTGGTTTATCACGTAAACATTAGTTATTTAGGTAAACAACTTTTGTTAATCATATCATATATGACTCTTGGTTTGTTTGGGCATCATCATATGATTATCCAAACATTTCTTGCTCTAAGGCCCAAAACCATTTTGATGGCCTTGTAAGTCCAAACCAATACTAAGACCCGAGAATGACGATCATTCGAATCATCTTTCTAAGTGTAAAATGCTCTACTTTGGCATACACATATCACGACTAGCATAGTTTAAATGATGGTCATATTAGGAAAACAACTTTGACTTATAATTATTAGGGATTAATAATTACACACATGAAACAATCATAGATTTAAGTATATCATTTAAAACTAATGCAATGATCCCAAAATCTTCATATCTCCTTGACATATTCAACCTGTCCAGTAGACTACTAAATATCCATGGGGTTGAAAACATTACAGGGGATAGACGGAAAAATGACACACAAGCCGTAAAACAACATAATATTAAAAACATACATTCAGATAATGCTATACCACCAATTCAGATTATCCCTGTGATGAAACAAAATAATTGCTCATGCACGGATTGAAAGTTAAAATTTAAAATCCACAAGTAATATGTAATTAATTTGGATCTCATCCGAAATATAAACATACATATTAATGAATTCCAAAATAATTCATATTATATATACATATACAAATCTTATCTGTAATATAGATAAGTATATATAAGAACGAATATAAGATAATGAACTAAAATGAGAAAATTGGCAGAAAACTTGTTCAAACCATTTGAATTATAATCTCGGATAATTTGTCACATCTTTGCCATGATTTTTGTAGGGCTCGTCTTCCCGTTTCCAAAAAATACTTATAGACCGGAAACAGATTAACGAGCCAAAAGTTACGACCAAAACAAGATTATCTGATACACAAAAACAGCTCATCAGACAGCGGTTGCCAAAATAATTCGGATCTTATCCAAAAATTAGAAACTAAATCTCCCAAAATTCAAAATAATATTCTGAATATAGTTGAGATCTAATTAAAAAAACGAATTTTCATGTCCATTCAGATCTGTCCCGAATAATTAGACAATGTGATTTTATCTAATTCTTAATTTCATTCAGATATGATCCGAAAAATAATAAATAATATCATAAAATATTCTTAACATAAATTATGGGTATCAATTCGGATCTAATTCAAATTCTTGAATTTTCATGTCCATTCAGATCTCTTCCGAATAATTAGAGAGTAGGATTTTATCCAATTCCTAATTCCATTCGGACCTGATCCGAAAAAAATATCACAAAACATTATTAACATAAATTATGAGTACCAATTCGGATCTAATTCAAATTCTTGAATTTTCATGTCCATTCAGATCTCTTTCAAATAATTAGGCAGTAGGATTTTATCCAAATCCTAATCTCACTCAGTTCTGATCCGTAAAATAATAAATAATATCACAAAATATTCCAAATGTTATTCTGAATATATATTGAATAAAATTCGATATATTAGAATATTACATCCTTACAAAAAAAATGGAATATAATATGCAAATATAAATTCTGAAATTAATAAATAAATAATTTCAAAAATAAATCCCAAAATAATCAAATTACAGATTATATATCAAATCATGTAACCCGAATATAATAAAGATATGTAGGCTCTGATAGCACTGTTGGGTTTCAAGCAGAAAAACGCAACGGAAAAACGAGAGAGACAAATTTATGCCCAAAATAAGCAACCAGATCTGAGATTTTTATTGTAAACGGAATTACAAGAATATGAGGGACTTACATAGCAATCTTAAAGAAAGAATGTCAGACAGTGCGAGAAAATGACCCCGAGCTCTACCGGTATCCACACGCACGTGACTGGATCGCCCGCAGAGAACGTGCTAGTGTTCTCTTCTTCCTATTCCTCTCTCTAGGTTTATTAGATTTGAATTTTAACACTTAAATTCGTGGCTCTCCTTAGCTCTATTTATAAGAGGAGGAAAGAAGAGTTTTATAGCTAATAAAACTCTCCTGAAAGCCCTATCCTAATACCATTCGAAAACCTATTTCGAATTGGGCTACTCAGGCTATTTTAATGTTATAAACAAACATTAATGATCCATATCACTTAGATGTGTGACACTTTAAGTTTATATATCGTTGGCAGTGAGCTAATAAATTAATTAGAACCTCACAAGTAATAAGCGGTCTCTAGCAAGACATTATGACTATCCAATATATATAAATGTCAATTAAATCTGACATAAATTTTTAATGATTAATTTGTGCTAATAATTCTCTTATGTCAAACGATATCTTAATTGAGACAAGGTTAGGGCGTGTCATCCTTGTTACTCTTAATTAATATTTCTTGATTACCAAGTAAGATTAATTTTGAATAAATGACACTTCATTTGAGCATCGCCATGCCGATTAATCTTACTTGTCAAGAGGCTCAATATATATCTTTTTCTCGATATACGAGAGTGACAACAACTATCTTGATAATTCACATACCACTACATGGTTCATAATATGTACAATCACAACTTTATAATTACCCATTTAAAGATAACATTTAATGGTGTTAATACATATTAATTCTCATGTAAATAACCATGATTATCTCAAGTATAAGAATATAACACATCATCATTATTAAGGACAACAATGATGACATATAACCTAGCATTATACTAAAGTTAGGTCTGACCAATGAACTTGTTCACTAACAAACATGTATGTTATTAATTTGATATCTTATATACGTACTTTATTAATGCTGTGTCCATCAAACTTTCCAAGAGAACTCATCAAGATACGTCCCTCTTACAAACAAAAATTGTAGCATTACTCATCAAGAGAAGTCTAGTTTTTATTTCTAATGCAACGATGACCACTGTGACAAAGTTAAATTTGTTATTACTAGAGTACCATCGCTGCCCACCGCCGTTGAGGAGCTGCTTCCTAGGGAATATAGATGTCTGTAGTCCATACATCGTGAAGGATTTTGGGCGAATCGGGCTGAAACCATGCAGGGCGTTTAGGTCACAGAATGGAAGTGAAGAAGTTGGATTTGAGAAGAAAATTAAGTATTGGTGGCAATCGCGAAAAGGTATTAATAATCTGGTTAGGCGTTTCAGGTTTGCTCTTCGGAGCGGCTCTAAACCCAGATTAAGGTCAGATATTAAACTTAGGGAAGCTTTGGAGAAATTGGAGGAGAACTTATTCTTGGTATGTAATAACCAACCAGTTGTGGATTATTTTACTTATTCCATTATATGGTCTATATTTTTCTTTATCAATTTTATGCTCCGTATTTGTGTTCAGTTGTTCTGGCCAAACCCTAGAGTTAGGATATTTCACTTGTACTGAAATTTCCCGCTGTCTTTTTAAGTCTTGTGTGTGTTAAGTATGTGTATACTAATTTACTATTGTCTATGCTATGTTATACGGAGTACTAATGTCTAAATATAGTCTGGTCTTGGTTCTAGTTGCTTTGTGTGTCTTTATATATGGTTCATATAAGGTCTCATTGGTCTGGTCAGAGACCGAAACAAATCCATGTGAAGACATTTTTACTGGTTTTGTGTTATTTCAAGTCAACGCTATTAGGGAAATCTAGTTTTATGTTTATTTTTCCTAAGCAACCATTGCAAATAAATTATTGAAAAAAGACACTTAAGCATTACTAAACCTTCATTATCCATGTAGTTCCACATTACTCTTAAAATTATTTTCATTGTATTTAGAAGGTGACACGTAGATGAAGTCACCACTTAACTTGTAGTATAGACTGGAAGTACACTTAGGGTATGTTTGGGAGTTAGATTTTGGAAGGGTGGGGGGAGGTCTATGACCTTCCGTTTTTTGTTTGGGAGTAAAAAAATGGAAGGGATGGCTCTGAACTCTTCTTATAACCTTCACAACTTCAAATGCTCAATGTTGAAGTTCCTCAAATTGGGTTTTTTGAAGGATAACTAATTAAATGACAACATTAGCTCAATTTAAAATGAGTATAGCTCAAACTATTTGAATGCGCCATACCGCTTTAGCAATTTTAATTATAATTCCTCCATAGCTCCCTATTTTAAATTTGAACTCCCAAACAAGAAGAAGGATTTCCTTCACTTCCCCTCCTACATACCCTAGAGAAGTTTTATTCAAAAGTATATACATGTTTGGATGGACAGTTTTGGAGGAGTTTGGAGAGTAATTAGAAAATTTGACGTTGGGATGCCTAGAAGGGGGTTGAGGGAATGAGGAGTGGGATTGGAATGATAGGTCGTGCTTGATATGTACTCCAAACCCATCTCATAACCCCTTTCTTTCGTGCCCATTCACATTCCTTTAAATTAACAAGCATGCCCTAAGCCTTCTAAAACCTTTTCCTCCAAACTCCTCCATCTAAATAAACCAAAAGTCTCTTGTTCAAGAGTTAATTAGTACATACAAGTGTTAATTAGTGAGGGAGCAGCGCTAAGCCGCTAAGTCAGTTGCCTTGGCAAAAGGGATTCCGTATATGATGTCCCCTCACATTGTGTTTTATGTTCATATGCCTATATTTAGATATTAATTGTATAGCGTATCTTTGTCAATCTACACTTTTCCGACATAAGAACACATTCTCCTCACCTACTCATTTGGACAGTGGGCTCTGTACTTTGGGAGATTTGTGGTAACGATGATGAGTACCGGAGCCATATTGTTTATAGGATTTCAATTATCAGGTTAGCTCATTAATGCACCATATTTTAAATGAAAGAAGACTTTACTAATTCTATTCACATGTGGTGCAATTGTGCACCCTGTTTTAAGATACCAATTCATAAGCTGCAAATAGAATTAACAGATGCAACTTTTCTTCCTTAGGTGGGGATGAGCAGATGATTGAAGTGATATGGTATAGTTGGCTTGGAGGAATCATCATTGGGACAATGGTTGGGTGCAATATGGTATTGGAGGAAGCCAGTCGAGCTGGTTCGCGAAATGTTGTAATAACCGGAAGGTAATGTTTTATATATATTCTCCTGAAGTTAAGTGAGTAGGTATACTATAATCTTAAGTGTTATTATTTTTTAATAATAATTATTACATAATGAAGTTAAGTGAGTAGGTATAATATATTATTAAACGCGACAACCCTATCATTCATGCATGTGAATGTGTATGTGTGTGTATATACATTTTTTATACACATACAAACACAACATTACTAATCATGTTTATGAAAAAATATTAATAAAACTATAATTTCAATGTTTCTGACTAGTCCCTGTCTAGGCGCCCGCCTAGCGCCTATCACCTTTTAGAACATTGGGTGAAGCCTTGAAGGTGATCAACATCCATTACAAGTTCTCTTTAAAGCCAATGGTAAACTAGGATGATTTTAGTGGACCGAACTGGATCTGGAAAAGTGGAAAGATGGAGTAGTGTGAGATTTTGGAAAGTTTGGAAGGCAAGGTAGTCTGCATTACCAGTGTTGCAGACAATGTTGGCATTAGGAGTTGCAGTGGTTGGGGGAGCACTTTAGCGGATGAAGGGTGTACACTTAGGAGTGCTTTTATGAGACTACGACTTCCAAGAGTTCCACCGATTAAGAGAATCGGTCAAGGTTAGAAAGTGTCCTGTAGTGGTTGTTGTGCTAGTTGCACCGTTTCACCTTCTGCACTGCATTTTGAAGTTTGTGAAAGTGTCCTTGGCTCATTAACTCGTGCAGTTCCTTGTGCGTCTTTGAAAGGAGCGTGTACTTGTTAGAGACACCGGAAGTCACTCCTTCAGTAATAATAATAGTGTTAGCTATTATGACAAAGGGTACTCTAGAAGAAAAGGAAATAATAAGGATGTTTTTACTTGGACTGTTTTCGGTCCCAAACCAGACCAGACCAGACTTAAACAGATCAGACCAGACATAAACAGACCAGACTTAAACAAACCAGACTTGACTTCCATAGTTATAAAATACACAGAGACCAGACGTGTACCAGACCCGTTCAGACTAGACCAAACTTAAACAGACCAGACCAGACTTAACCAGACCAGCAAATTACAGTCCAAGTAAAAACATCCTAAGTAGCTGGTAATTGTAAAAGGGGTCGGGGGGACTTCTATAAATAGGCAGCTACTCTAGTAAAGAGGCAGGTTGTTAATTTTTTATTTGGTAGTTGGCTGGGGCCGGAGAGTTGACATCTCTGAAATCAGGCAGAAATAAAGAAGATGATAGAAGGGGACTGAGGGAGAAGGGGTATGTTTCATCACAGAACCACAGATGGATGGATGAGAACAAATGGAAGACCAATCTGAACAATCAGTCCAGTCATGGGAAATCGGCCATGGAAAAGAAACCTAATGAGACAGTAAATAAAGAATCTGGAATAAGGGGCACACACAGATTATCTCAATCTGAACTACAGGAGTTGAGCAGGAAAGGCCTTTGTTTCAAGTGTGGATAACAGTGGGGTAAGGGTCACATATGTAGAATGAAGCATTTTCATATTGTGATGTTAGATGATTCTGATGAAGAAGATATTCAGGATATACCACAGTTAACATCTGGAATAGCTGTTGAAGAACAAGAAAATATTCCCATGCGGTTGTCATTAATGAGTAAAGAGGGAATTACCACTCCCAGAACTTTTAAGCTGCAGGGAGTGTTGCAGGGCCATATAGGAAGCAAAGAGGTAGTCATTTTGATTGACAATGAAGTGGGCATTCCTATACTTCACATCCCTGATTTCCAGGTGGAAATAGGGAATGGAGATCTAATTCGAAATAATGGAAGGTGTGAAGCATTGTCTGTACTGGTGCAGCAGATCATGATTACTCAAGATTTCTATACATTGGAGTTGGGAGGAACTGAAATTGTATTAGGAATGGAGTGGTTATCTGGACTGGGAAATGTAGAGTTCAACTTCAATCAGTTGACTATCAAGTGGATGGAAAATGGGCAGTCCAGAAAGTTAAAAGGGGACTCCAATCTCAGTAGAATTGAGGTTTCTTTTAAAAAGTTGGTGAAAGCCTTACACAAACAGGGTGAAGGATATTGTTTGTACCAAGCTGAAGTAAAAGATGAAGTACAGGAAAATGAAGTTGAACAGGTGTGGGTCAAGGAATGCAAGACAAAGTTTCCTGAAGTTTTTCAGCCATTAGATGGATTAACTCCCAAGAGGGAATGTGATCACTCTATTACTATTAAACTAGGATCAACAATCCCTAACATCAGACCATATAGGTACCCACAATACCTAAAGAATGATATTGAGAAGGTAGTCCAAGATTTACTAAATGATAGACACTGGCAATCAATTCAGAACAATTGAATACAACGACAATCAAAGTAGAACAGTTCACAGGATTTTATTGAACAAGGAAGAAATCAAAGTAGGTGTACAAGCTTATGGACCATTCGAGATGCCCAGTCTCCAACTACCAGCCAACATAATTCTCAGCTGCCTATCTCATCTTTCCTACTTTCTATTTATAGCCACCTGTCAACTTAAGGCACACCCGCCTGACTTACCACTTATTTGAATCACAACTGATTACATATTCCTCCTTTTGTACACCTTGTCAAAATATTTAATAGGCTGGGACACCTGCCTATCATTACTCCCCCCTGAAATTTCACCTTGTCCTCAAGGTGAAGACCTGGAAATTGATCTGCTAGAGCTTGTAATGGTTCCCAAGAATCTTCAAACTGTGGTAGGTCCTTCCAGTGTACTAGGACTTCTATCTTGCCTTCTTTGTTCATCCTTGAGTCCAAAACCTCTTCTGGAATCTGGACTGACTTGTAGTTCCCATTCTTCACTGAGGCATTTAGGTAGAGGCTGAAAAACAGTTGTAAGGGATAGGGCCTTCTCTAGTAAGGAAATGTGAAACACTGGATGCACTTTACTATCTTCTGGGAGTTTAAGCTTGAAGGCTACAGAACTGAGTTTCTCCATTATCTCAAATGGACCATAGTACCTAGGACTGAGTTTCTGGTTGATTCTTTTGGCTAAACTCTGAAGTTTATATGATTGAATCTTCAAATAGACCTTGTCCCCAACATTTAGAACCACCTCCCTTCTATGCTTGTTTGCTTGATGTCTCATCTGATTTTGGGTTTTTTCCAGATTTTCCTTCAACTCTTTAAGTATCATATTTCTTTGAGCCGTTAGCTTAGAAACTTCCTCCACCGCAGTCAAAGTGACATCCCCTCTAATCACAGTAGGGGGTTCCTGACCATATAGAGCTTTGTAAGGTGTCATTTTCAATGAAGTGTGGTAATTTGTATTGTACCAGAATTCAGCCCATGCCAACCATTTGACCCACTGCTTAGGCTTATTCCGTGTAAGGCACCTCAAATAAGTCTCCAAGCATCTGTGACCACTTCAGTTTGACCATCAGTCTGGGGATGATATGCAGTGCTGTATTTGAGTTGGGTTCCAGCCAGTTTGAAGATTTCAGACCAAAAAGTACTCGGAAAGATTCGATCTCTGTCACTAACAATGGTTTTTGGAAAACCATGCAATTTGACAATCTCCTTTGTAAATAAGTCAGCTACTTCTTTGGCAGTAAAAGGGTGGGATAAAGCCAAGAAGTGAGCTGATTTTATCAGCTTATCCTCCACCACCATGATAGTGTCCTTCCCCTCTGATGTAGATAGACCTCCTATAAAGTCCATGCTGATATCAGTCCAGATATTCTGAGGAATAGGTAATGGCTGAATCAATCCGGCTGGTTTTAAGGCTTGATATTTGTTTGTCTGACATGTAGGGCATTCTTCCACAAACTTCTTTATATCCTTCCTCATTCCATGTAAGAATGGTCTTCTGGATAATGCATCTGCAACTCTGTTTTCAACCCCTGGTTTGTACTTGATAATGAAATTAAACCCCAATAGCTTGGAAGTCCATTTTTGTTGCTCTTCCCCCATTAGTCGTTGCTCAGTCAAAAATCAAACTTTTCTGAATCTGTGTGGATTTCAAACATTCTTCCCAAAAGGTATGGTCTCCATTTCTGGCCTGCTAATATTATAGCCATCAGCTCCCTCTCATACACTGATCTATGCTGATTTCTCTGGGATAACTCCTTGCTCATATAGGCAATGGGCCTTCCTTCCTGCATAAGTACAGCTCCCAGACCTGTCCCAGATGCATCAGTCTCCACTATAAACATTTTATCAAAATCTGGTGTTGCCAGTACTGGCAGGGTAGTCATAGTTTTCTTTAACTCCTCAAAAGCCTTGGTAGCCTCTGGTCCCCAATGAAAACTATCTTTCTTCAATAGTTGTGTTAGAGGTAGAGCAATCTTGCTATATCCCTGTACAAACCTTCTGTAATAACCTGTCAGTCCCAGAAATCCCCTCAATCCCTTCAAGTCCTTGGGTTCAGGCCACATGGTCATTGCCTCAATCTTTGTGGGGTCTGCAGCTACCCCCCCACCAGATATAATATGACCCAAGTAAATTAATTTAGACTGTCCAAACGAACATTTCTTTGCATTAATCACCAACTGATTATCTTGTAAAGCCCCCAGAACCTTCCTTAAATGTTCTTGATGTCCCTCCACTGATTTGCTATAAACCAAGATATCATCAAAGAAAACCAATGCAAACTTCCTTAGAAAAGGCCTCAGAACTTGATTCATAAGGGCTTGAAAAGTTGATGGCGCATTTGTCAGACCAAAGGGCATCACCAAATACTCATAATGCCCCTTGTGAGTCCTGAATGCAGTTTTCTGTCTATCCTCCTCCTTCATTCTTATCTGGTGGTATCCAGATTTCAGATCCAGCTTAGAAAAATGGTTGCCCCACCCAATTCATCCAAAAGTTCTTCAATGATGGGTATAGGATACTTATCAGGGATAGTAATTCTGTTGAGAGCCCTGTAATCACCACAGAATCTCCACCCCCCATCTTTCTTCTTCGCCAGTAGAATAGGACTACTGTAAGGGCTATTGCTGTGTTGAATTATACCCTCATTCAACATTTCTTTTATAATCCTCTCAATTTCTGTCTTCTGGTAC